GGGGCCCAACGCGCTCCGACTTCGGAAGTTCCGGCCCGCGCCGGACTTACTGCGTTTTTCCGACCGTGCGAAGCGGAGCAATGAATGAGTGCGTGCCGCCGCCTGGCAGCACCAAGACCCTTAATTGCTTGGGGCGCCCCGGACCGGTGGGCACCGTCCTGCGGCATCGTCTCCCGTGTAGGAAGGCTGGGTCAGGTTGGGGCGGCCCCAAGCCCTCTGGGTCTTCCCTTTCCCGCACGCACCCTTGCCGGGGCCCCAAGGCTTAGGCGTCGAGGAGAGCCCCGGAGGGAGTATTGGAACTTTCTAAGTGTCCACCAACTGGACAAAAGCAACGGTTGTCCGAATATGGCCTTAGCGGGGGTCCCCCCCCCACTGAGAGTGCCCTGCTGTTCCCCCTCTTAGGCAGGACACGATGTGGATCCAAGTACGCACCATGGACGGCAAGGTGACCCACAGGGTGGACTCGCTGTCCAGGCTGACCAAGGTGGAGGAGGTGCGGCGCAAGATCCAAGAGCTTTTCCACGTGGAGCCCAGGCTGCAGAGACTTTTCTACCGGGGCAAACAGGTAAACATCCCACCTGCTCTTGCTGCTTGCTATCACCTTTGTTGGCAGCCCCAGTCCAGGCACCCTGCCCGTGGTCCCACCGCCGCCCCCACAAGGACAGACCCACAGGAACCTCAAAGGCCTGTGGGAAACAAAGGCCCAGCCTGCAGGTTTCGCACTGGGCCGCGCTAGTGAGAGACGGTGTCCACTGCCTTTTTATTAAAGAAACAAACAAATCCCCAGGCTGAATCTACCTGCTCAGGGTGGAGGGTGGCCAGCAAGGGTGCAGGTAATTACAGGAAGGAAAGCTCGAGAGCTCTCTCCGGAGGTGGGCGGAGAAGACGGGGCTGTTCCCGAAAGGCCCACCTCATTGTCTGACCTGTGAGAGTCAGTTTTCTAGAAAGTTGGGGTTGGCCTGGTTCAAAGTGGAGCGGTTAGGGGTCCGGGAATGGGAAATTCTGCTGACCTAGATTAGCGGTGGGGAGGGGGCCGGGCAGGCAGAGGGGTGCTCCAGTTGAGCTTCTGCACATCTTGTGGGCCAGTTTTGTCATGCAGAATCCCCATGAGCCGGACGGACTGGGATTGAGTTTTAAAGGCAGCCGGAAAGGGGGAGTACGGGACACTCAGCGGGGGCTGGGGGTGGGCCGGGGTGGGGGGGGCGTGCTGAACACCCATTGGTCGCCCCATCCCTGCACCAATGCTGGGAGCATTTAAAATGGCTACCCCTACTTGTTCAGTTGCTCCCGGGGAGCTTCTGTTGCCAGAGGGGTGGTTGGGGGCCAGTGGGGGGCACTGAGAGTTTGGGGTTTCCCTGGCGGGGTGAGTGTGTTGGCCTGCCTGCCCGCCCAAGCCTGACAGTAGTGAACTAACTGCACCGTGCCCGGTGGTCCCACTTTTGTTGCGGTGCCTTGGCGGGGCCGTGCTGCCATCTGGCGCCTGCACTGGGAAGCCAAAGAGGGGGCGCCTGGCTCCCCGGGGCGGGGCCTGGGAGGACTCCACGTGCTGATAGAGCCGAGACGGTGATGATTAATTTCTTGGGTTTTCAGCCCTCCTGGGAGGCCTCCTTCCTGTAAGCAGTGCCTTAGAATTGGCCTCAGCTGCCCGCTTGCCGGCCCCTCCCCCCACACACCCCAACCTCCGTCCCAGGGAAGCACTGAAGGGGGTGCAGCACTGGCAGCCCATATGGCTTGTGAGTACCACCAAGGTCACTGGGGTGGGGGACCCCTGAGCGGTTCCCTCCGCTTCCTGCTTTTCTCCCACCACCGTGTCCTCCAGCTGCACCTCTTTGTGCTCCTCCGATGGGTTCTTTTTCTCCATGGTTCTCACGAAGTCCCAGCCTAGAGTGGTTTCTACCTTCCAGTTTATCACACCCAGGTGCCGACGGTGAAGTTGCCTCACAGGGCTGTTTAGGAACACCTGTCCCGAGTGTAGCTACAGCGTTGGGACGGGGAATGTTTGGAGGTGCCGCTGCAAGAAGTCAGGGTGTTGGCCGGGCACCCCGTGAGTTCAGGGGAGGACTCCCCCCTCGGGTACTGCCTTGTTTCCTGGTGCTCCCAGCTGTCCCTGGGCTGATGCAGGTGGGACTGCGGACGCAGCTGCAGCATTTTGTATAGCCTTTGCTTTGGGTTGTTTTTATTTGGACCTCGGGGTTTTGTTGTTGTTTTTCTTTATTGTATGAGATATGGTGAGCCCAGACCCACGCGATACTTAACTCGAAAGGTCAGCCCGGCGGAGCCCTACAGGGGCAGTTCTGCTTGTATGCTTGGGGTGCCCCTGTGCCGGCCTGGTCCGAGGAGCTACCTCCCCTCCCCGCCACCTTCCCAGACAGGGCCCATCTGCAGGTCTTGAGGTTCGAGCTTTGAAGAAAATAAGGGACCTAGTTCGGACAAACATAGCTTTACCCAAGGCTACTCAAAAGGGAGCAGAGGAGGAGAAAAAGAGAGGGAAGAGACTTTTGGGGTGCTGCCTATGCCACCTATGCGCCCGGCACTGCGCCTTTTGGGTCCCCTGCCCGCCTCGCCTCCCATGTTCCAGATTCCAAAACTCGGCCGCCATGGAGTCCACAGCCACCCCACCGGACAGAAAGTGTCTCCAAACACCACTGCCCAGGGCCACCCAGGCCACCCCCACCTTTGCTTCAGGGCCCGGGGAGGCTTCTTGTTTTACTGGCTTTATTTCCTCCTCCTCCTTGTGGGGAGCCAACTGCCCGCACCAACTCCGGCGTCCCTCCCCTCGCCATTTGGTGACGTGGTGCCATAGGAGTCCCCGTGTTTGCCCCGCAGGGTGTCTGGGCACCACACACACACACCCCGCCCCCCCGCACAGGGCTTGTGATGTCCCCGCAACCCTGGCTCCCTGCCCCCCTTCCCCATATCCCTTCCCCACGTGGCGCCCGCTGCAGCAGGCTTTGTGAGGGCGTCTCCCGCTGGCCACCGCCCCCTGTGGCCAAGGCCCATCTCCGCCCCCCTGAGTGAGGAATGTGGAGTAGGTCCTGTTTCCGGGAGGAGAAACCCAGGCGCCACCACGTGATGCAATTTCCCCCAGGCTGCACGAGGGAGGGAGGTGGCGACCGCACGCCAGGGGCCCTTTTGGAGGGTGGTGACAAAGACCCCAGCCACCCGCGTGCTGAGTCGTTGGCCCCGCTTGTCCCCGCTACCTCTGCGCAGCACCCCCAGGATGCGAGTCCAGTGGGGGGGTGAGGTGGAGGGAGGCATTGGAGAACGTTCTAGAGCATGTTGCCAATTTTCTTCCCTTTCTGCCCCCCCCCTCCCCTGCCCGTGGCGCAGCAGCAGCTTGTACAGTTTGGGGAGGGCAGCCTTGAGGGTTCACTCTGGACTGGGACGTTTCCCAGGGGGCCCAGCAGTCAGCGAGTCGGGGGGAGGGGGAGGGTCCTGGGCAGCCGCGGGAACTCCTGGCGGGTGCTGCTCACTAACAATAGCTGCCCGGTGATGTGGTAGGATGCCGCCACCCTTCAAGCCTAGCTCTGGCCCACTCGCGCCCCCCTCCCCGCCAGCACCGCCAATGGAGAGGACACGATCCTTCTCTGGGTAGGGGCTGTCTTGTGCACTGCAGAGTGCCTCCCACCCACTGCGTGCCGGTAGCACCCCAAGTGACACCCACAAGTGTTCCCTGGCATGGCTCGGTATCCCCTAGGGGTCATCAGCTTCATCAGTCCACTTCATCGGTGTTACCCTCCCGCCGCGAGCTCCACCCATTTAGTAGTGAGTGTGCTGTTACAGAGCGTCAGGGAGCTAGCTTCACAGTGTATGGAAAAGTTCCTTTACCTTTGGACCCCCTTTTCCCACAAGCTTTCCGAAAGCCCACTCATAGCCCAGCGGGTCACCCACCCCTGCCCTGAGGATGGACCTCTGGCGTGT